CCCAAGAGCAGGTTAAGAAATTACTTGATTCCAGTTTGTCCTAGGCTCTTCAATTTAGCATACTATGCCATAGTGAGAACCAGTGCCTGGGAAATCTGCAGAGAAACAAATTACTTTAAAATGAGAAAGTTTGTGGCCATTGGAATAAGGGAGGTGATAGATTACATATTTTAATGGAAAAGTATATGTTGCTTTAAAAGATGTTATACGATTTATAAAACGATTGTCAGATTAACTATCCTTCCTGTCCTGTGCTACACAGAAGGAAAAGTTAATAATAAAATCCATTCAGGTATTTCTTCAGGTATATCTAAATTCACAAACTCAACAGTTTTCTTAATAGTTTTATACATTATTTTTGCAAGCATAAAATAGAAGCGAAACAATCCATTGTATAAATCATGCAGAATCCTGTGTCTTTTAGATCTAGAAGCCTTGGAACATTTCAAGATCTCTGCTGCTCCCACCATAGTGTGAGTATAAATATTAACCTACTGTTCTTCATGTGTAATAGTTAAAAAAAATAGCTCTGACACACACTTTTCCAGGGTGCTACACAGTTAATAAGCTGTCAACACTCCTGGAGTTTATTCCTGGATTTAGGGTGGAAGACAGCAATAATATTAGTAATGTAGCAAACTAGAGGAATTTAATAGTCAGTCTGCATGTTTGGACTTCATGGTTTAGATTTACATTTGCCTTGTTTGCAATCTCACTGTAAAATGAAGGCAATGATTATTGTTTCCTTTTTCTGGGCAAGAAAGGTAAGAACTGATTCAATGTAAGGATACAGCAGCATTTTAACAGAAGAGATAAGGGGAGATATAAGACACAGTCTCCTAGCTTGAACCAGCATGAAGTGGGAGGGAGAGAAAATAGGGTTCACATAATGATGGGGAGAGGAGCTGAACAAGTCTGTGGTGCTGGTAACATAATTTGATTTCTCTCACTCTAGTTGCTAGCCATGGGATTCAGGAAAGAGGGTAGGAAATCCTAATGGTTCTTAGATATTTTTAAATGTATGTATGATTTCCTAAGGGTGCAGAAGGATGTTGTGTTGACTCCTATACCTGGTTTATATCAGCAGAATTATATGCAGCTTTTCAGTTGTGTTTATAGTACCCCTTCATCTCTCCCATGCATAATGTGCATGCTGCCATTGCACATTATGCCAGTTTATGTAAACAGCTGTTTTCAATATGCAGATGAAGTTATTTTTAATTAATGTTCGTACCTGTTCAGAGTGCCGTAACTACCATATTTTTAGAAATACACATTTTGGGGTTTATGGCAGGAATTTAAGTGCATTTCAGGGAGACCTTGGGGAAAACAAAACAAAACAAAACAAACATACTACTGGTTATGAAGCAAAATTGGAATGATGTGGAAGTCATTATAGCAGCCTGCTATGACTTGTGGTTAAAGAACACAAAAGATACCTTGCAGCAAATCAAATGCAATATAAGGGGTGAAAACAATAAACCTGCCACTTCTTTATATGCTGGGAGCTCATTTGAGGGGACCACAGAGCGATAGTGGGGGTGCTCTGTACAACTTATTGTTGGTTCTCTGGCAGAAGTAGGTGTGTCTATGCTGTGTCTTCAGTGTTTTTTGGATTGTTTTGATGAGAGGTGGCAAGAGACATCCTGGTGCAGTCCACTGGACTTTTTGCTCCAAGTCAAAGCTGCTTCTTTCTGTAGCAGAACAACAATTTTATAGCCAAGCTAGTCTCTCCAGGCACACACCTTCTGCTGAAATCCCAGCTACTGAGTAATCTCAGTTCCTTTTTTTCCTTCAAAACACCAAGTAACATTCTCATAATTTTACAATTAGCAGTAAAAAGGCCTTTCTGAGCAAGCTTGCCAATGTAATTTAGAGCTCCTTAGGCTGATGACACTAAACTACAATGGGTTTAGCATCTTTACTCCAATGAAATTATGTTTTCCCAAAAATATTCTGCTTCTTTCTTCTTTTTTTTTTTTTTCTGCCCCCTGGCAACTCCAAGTCTGTCTGGTTAGCCCTTGTACAAGTTCTAAAAATATTCATCAAACCCTATCTCCAGATGCATGTATTATAACTTTGGTTGTACATATTGGTTGTTTATGTTGGAGGTTTATGGTGAAGCTAAAGATGTCACTTTGATAAAGAAAAGCTAGATAGAAGCATTTTAGGCAGGAAGATTATGCAGTAATATCTGCAATGATATGGTAGTCTAATACCAGTTTGTTTTTCGATATTTCTAAGAATTTAATTATAAAAATTCCTTTTTAACTCCTTAACCTTCCTGGGAATGGGATCTGAAAGGAATAAAAATGGCTTAAACCATTTCACTCTAATTTCACTGCATCTCATTTCACTGCATCTTTAAAATCACACTATCAGAGAAATTTTTTTATATGAGCATGACTATTTGTGATTATGGCTTAATGTATATCAATTGCCTATTGAATGTGGCCTCCTTCACTGTTTTTCATACCTCTCCAGACCATCTGAAGGAAAAATCATATGTCCTAATACAACAAATATATATTGAAGACTGTGCAAGACAGATTTAAAACATATTATACCCACTGTTCAGCACAGTTTGCAGTAAGCACTGCTGATTGTTGTGAATTCAAAACGTGTGTGTTTCTCATCAGCTGAGGTTCAATGAAATGCAAAGTACAGCATAGAATATAGCCTAAGGCATTGTAGCATGCATCAAGGTCTTACCAGCTAAGTCCTCTGTACAAAGTTCAGTAAGTTCCTTCAGGAAGTGTTGCTTGACCTAGTAAATAACAGCTGAATATCTCATAGAGAATCTAAGCCAGCATCTGATTTTACAGCAGCATGAATCAGACAACTATGTCAACAGCAATACATGTTTCATCCTATTTAGATTGAAAAGGACTTGGGTGCCCAGCCTTCAAGCTATTGGTGTAGTTGCACTGGCTGGTCACATTCTGAGAAATGAAAATTTTGTTTTTCATGTAGTTGGATAAGTGGAATGAATGTCCTTTCATCTGTACCAGTAACAAAAACATACAGAGAATGTTTCCGTTACAGTTGAATTCTGTATGCAATTATGGAACAAAACCCTTAAACAAAGTGAAACTTTTCCCAGAATTCTCCAACCACATACACATATTGTGGTAATTTACTCTGAATTCTGATCCTCTTTTTATGTCTCAAGTAGGAGCACTCTTTGTCACATTTGTTCCTAAGTATTTTTAATTCCATATTTGCATTTTCAAGGCTTTTATTTATGTAGGGACCAGCCAGTTTTTCTACATTCTACAAGCTTGGCATCAAAAAAAAGGAAAAAAACCCTAACAATTGAATTTGGGGCCCAGATCTCTTCTTTCTCTTTCCAGTACCTCTGTGAGCAGACATGATGTGGTGGCATTTAATAATTTACAGCAGGGCTTCAAACATTATGAGCTTAGAGGATGTATCCTCCTTTCCTTTATAAAGTAGGAAGAAGTGGCTGTTGTACTGCACTACTGTGTTTGATATAGAAGAATCACCTATTTCCCTGCACTATCCCATACTCTCACTAACGTGCCAGGAAATTAGGTGTTTGTGATAAATTACTCGGTGGTGTTATGGTCAGTAGTTTCATGTCATTCCTGAGCAGATTCTGAACTGCAACTTCAAACTGCTCCAGGATCTGAAGCCACCATTCCTTGTCTTGAGATCTCATAAGAGACACTGGTGAACTGTGATATTATAGTTGTGATGAATCTCAGCCAGGTAGTTCCAAGGTGGAATTTTTAGTAATTTTTTAATTTACTCTTGATTTTATTTTATAAGGCACTTGGTTTTTTCTGAGGCAATGAGGGAAGGGAAGTTACAGAACCACCTGCCCAGGTTGTATGTTCAATGTGCATTTTTCAACATATGTGAATCTCTGCATCCATTTATACCATGGTCCTGCCTTGGCAGGTTGTATCCAGAGTTGCAGCAAAAATGCTCCCATAAAGGGCCTATACTGGAGGACAGATTTATCTCATGCTTCCTGCTGCAAAGGAAAAGTATCAAACTGAAGGGACAATGGCACCTATAAAGACCACAAACAATCTGTTATGTAGTGAAGGAGACTGTTTAAAGACTGGTAGTACTTGGAAAGGAGAGCACCTCCTTGACCAGAGATAGTTTAACATCTAGTTATTTTGCTATGACAATATCTGTATTCTTTATGAACTGAACAATCTCATTAGCAACTTCTAAGGTATGTAATGAATACTAGTATATCAGGGCCTCTGAGAAAATTCAGAAGCTCTTTGGGACAGTAAGTGAAGAGAAGCCTTGTAAGGTGGACCGTTTTTTGACGCATAAGCTTAGCCATCCAACTAATTAGCTTGGAGTTTAAGTGAAAGACTTAAATTGCAATGAAGACATTCCCCATGTTGTAATTAGAAGGGAAAAATCCCTTACAGACTTCAGCAATTCTAAGATAGTCAATTTAAAGATTATTTTATGCCATATAGATGTAATGCCAATTTGATGTAATGTATAGAGATTTTAATGGCATGGTTTGATAATAGGGTTCTATTCATACCCGTCTGGGATCATGGGTATGAATCACCAAATGTTGCCAGTCATCAGTGATGCTCACATCTAAAATTCATGTAGCTGTTCTGGGCAATACTGCAAAGTCACAGACTCACTATGTGACATATGAGTGATTTAATATTAATTTAATATTCATATTATGCTGTAAATATTCTGTTACAGATTATATCTTCCATTTTTCATGGCTGTACAAACCACTAGGTTCTACAATAAAGTTTGGGGTCTGTTAATCTGCATACTTGCTGCTTTATTGTAGTGTTGGTGTGGAGAATTGCCAGTAACTTCTGACCTTGACCATGACTCTGTTCAGCCTTCATTTTTTTTTTCCTTTCTGAGCTTGCTCTTTTAGAAACTTTTCAATATATTGTGCTAAACTGCAAGCATGACAGTTCAGTTTTGCAAGATCTTTCTAACAAGAAAAAAATCCAAAAGATCTCTCTAAAACCTCTGGTTTAGATTTCATTTTATTTGTCATCTTTTATGAACAAATTACGAAATATACTTCATTCACAAATTGGTAGTATTTACAATTTCTTTACAACAAGGCATTATTGAGGTTTTGATTTATGGCATTCTTAGAGCATTCTGTCTTTCAAAACAAAGACATTGGTGTTGTTTTCAGCACACTGTTCATTTATACTCTGGATGTGAAATGGGAGCTTTTGGAAGAGGAATTTGCACTCTCTTTTGATATGATCTACTGGGAAAACTGAGGCAGGATGCATACAAAATGTGAGGATAGGGACTGTGCAGATGTGTTGCTGTACCATGCCATGATCTGAAGCTATCATATTAAACCAGATGCTGCTAAGTGGAGAGGAGAAAAAGATTCCCCTGAGCCATTCTTCCTCTGCTTCTCCTTTGAGTGGGCTAAATGCAGTTCAGTTTATTTTTTTTTCTGATTTTTGAGTCTTCATGAGAGTAAGAGTCTTGTGAAGTCGATTTCAAATACTATCACAATTCAGAAAGATTATTCAGACAAAAAAAACTGAGACTAGCCAGTGAATAAATATTGTATATCCGCAAAATGTTTAGGAGACAAATTTTGAACATGGTTCTAAAAGGGAATTGCAACTGTGCTGGTCTGCAGTTGTGACATTTGAGCCATAAAAGCTAAGATAATTTCATTTTCTTAATTTCTTGGAGTCTATTTTTTTTCCTGAAGAAAATTCTAAAACCACTTCCTTCCATGGAACTTTTAAAAATTTCTTAATATACACTTCCATTATAAATCAGATGTGGGCCACCATTGCTTAGGTTGTCTGTCATTTCCTAGAACAAGAATAAAAAATATTAATTAAAATTAGAAGTATTGTAAGATGTTCAAAATTCAGTTATTTAAGGTTGTAATGAAATTTGAACAAACCCAGAATTTCAAACATTCAGAAACACTTTACATTTTTATTTAGCTTGATAGACCTTATTATAAAAAAACCCCAGATTTTTTTCCTTCATGAATTAGGTACGTTTGAAAGTTGATAGATTCATTGATAGTGATTGAATTGGACATCACACTCAGACCACATTGATGGCATCAGTACTAGTTGTGATGTTCTTTGAAATTGCATCAACTCAAGCTTGTGCGCTGATCTACAAAAGAATGAAATGGTAGTTAAGTCTCTGTTTCCATTCAAACCTTTATCTGTGCTGACATGCTACAAATAAAATGCCATTCAATGCTTGCTAAAATAGACATTTGGGAAGTAGATATAGATCCAAATGGGACCTAAGGGTTTTAACTGCTTGTTTTCCCTTAGGATGGGACTGATTTTAGTTTTCCCTTATTATGCCAGTCTACAATTCTTAGCAGTTCGGGGATTGCTTCTCCGGTGGCAGATGAGTCATCCCAGAGTAAGCTGACCGGCTCATGAGTCAGAATCCTAAAGCACCTCAACCAAGATTTGCTCAGAGATAGATTTTCTAACTCCCAAATTGAAATGCAAACAAAACCCCCTTAGCAGCTGTCTAAGCACAGAGATGGCTACATTAATTAAACAGTTCCCTGATCTCCAAGGCTGCAAAGCCACACTGAGTTTATGGCTGGAACTACCTTATTGTCAGCAATCCCAGGCCTATTTCATACCAGATTGAATCTGGATGCAGAAATAAGTGATCTGCTGCTTATGTCCAATGACAGAGAACGTTCAGCTAGGGCAAGAGGAATGAGTACAGGCAAAAATGCAGCTTGGTGTACTTCTAAAATTCAAGTAGGTGAGGTGGAGGTGCCAGTGCTGGACTAGTTCTAAAATAGCTGCATGATGACCAGAGGGTCTTCTCTGCATGGAAAGATTAAATTCACCTCTTCTTCTTCCTAGGTACACTTGGAGAAAACATGGAATAAAAGGGATTTGTTTGTCCCCTTCCTTTGGAAGCTTCTGTAAAAAGAGTGAAGCAACATTCATTGGGCTAGACAGAGAGAGAGAAAAAGACAGAAAGAAAGAATCCAGATCTATAGCATAGTAGCTGAGATTCGTGGTAAAGAGAAGAAAATTATACAACCTGGTCTTAATTACTAGTCTTACTCCATCTCTCTCTTCTTTTAATCCACAATACTTGGCAAGCAGAGACCAGAACTCACAGTAACATAAAGTTAAAAAGCACTGATGCCTCCTTTCTCAGGTGTTACCAGGTACATTTTAGAGCAAATCACAGGACTTAATTGTTCCGTTCACAGTTTTTGAAAGAAGGGATGTTCTAGTCTTCCCTACATTGTCACCAAACCAAGAAGCCTTGCCAATTAACACTCCCAAATCAAGCATAAACTTCAGAGAAAATCAGGTGTGCAACTAATTTTGAGTATTTTCTACCACCCAGGTCTCCATTTGCAGGTGATGGTGTTGGATGTTTTGGTATTGTGCTTTATTCTCCTGATACATTGAAGAGGAACATGCATGCCTAACACTGGACTATGGATCCCAGTTTGGGGGTTGTCTGGCGCTATGGTTTGCTTCTTTCTGGGTTCCTAAAGCCTTTGTTGGATCTACATTGAAGGTATCTGTCAGCTGGGAAAGAGATCAAGAATACCAAAGCCAAAAGAGACCAAGAATACCAATTACTAACTATCAGCCATATTTTGATAGTAATGATCTGTCAGAAGGCTGCTAATGAGTTTTCTTTTGTAAGCTTCATCACTTGAATTGTCTGCAGACATCAGCTATTAGAATATCACCATAGTTTTGGAAAATATCAAAGCCCATTTATTTTCCCCACTATTTCTATTTATAAAAAAATTAATTAACAAAAAAAAAGTTACTGAATTCGGGGAATGAAGGAGCACACAGATTAGAAGCAGAGTGAATCAATGGTGGCTACATCCAAATAAGAGTATTTGGATGCCTGTAACTAGGGTGAATATTTTAAATACTCAACTTACTTCCGGATTGCAGCGTTCACCACATAGAGTTATGTCACTACCTGGAAGCAGCATTCCTGCCTCAGAGTAACATCACAGCATCAGCCAACTTTGATTAGCTGAAGCTATGACTTCCTCGTAGAGGTGGCCCTTCCTGAAGTGACATAACAACATGGTCGCTCCCTAGTGTTCAGCGTACCTTGGAGGTAACTCTGGTGTCGGGGGAATCACCGGGCAGCTGGGCAGGTCGGTTATTTCAATACCCCTCAATCTCTAATATAAATATAACAATTATACAATAAATATAGCACAAACAAATGCACATGCAGTACATGTCTACATTACTGTATATCAGTATAAATATACAATATAGTCAAATATATAAAACACTTCTAAGCTATTTTATAAATTAGGGTCTAATTCAATGTAAGTTTTTGTGCCTTGACCTAGTGTACTCAACCCTGCCAGCAGCAGGCAGTCTGTGTGTCTAAGAAGTCCTGAGTCAGGCCATGTGTACATGCATACTTAGCTCTACAGCAGACATGCAGGAAGTTTGCCATCAGTGGGCACATCCCAGATCTGCTGAGTGTATACAATAAGGTTGTTCTGCACATACATTGTGGCCACTCACCCAGGATAAGTGGACACCTGGCAGTCCTTGCTGCTAAGTGTCAAAAAGCTCAGTTTGTCAACTTGTTAGGAAGGTAGGCAGTGAATTACTGTTACACATAGTCATCCTCATCCCAAATTGATAGAGTTAGCAGCTTTTTTTTATTTTGAAAGTTTTTTTTCCTTTCCAAGCTCCTTCTTCTTCCTTTCCCTCTTTTCTCCCATCTTTGTCCTTGTTGAGGCAAGAGTCTCTCTGAAAGTCAATATCTAGCCTTCCATCAGCAAGACCATAGTATTTGCCTAATAGCTCATCAGAATTCTTCATTTTAAAATGAGATGGAGAAATGTATCTTGTCTGTTGATTTTATCACCCTGTTTTATGTTACTGTTGTAACCTCCACTATTTAGCTTTTAAAGACATATTTAAAATATCATCTTTTTAAAATGTTTCAAACATTTTGAAAATGTTTCTAGCATTGTGTTTTTAAGACCCATTTCAAACATCATCTAAGATTAATTCAGTTTATATTTCTAGTTGGAGTCTCAGCTCAGTTAAGAAACTAAAGAATAGTGACAAGTCATTTTTAACTGCTGTATCAGGTTTTTCAGGGAATCTGAAAACAATTCTATAGTCTGAGCAAACTAATCCTTGCTCTGCTCTTCAGAGGTTTCTGTAGATAACAGACTCTTAAACTTAATAGTAATGCAAACTTGCATGTGGAGGTTAAGGTGGGCAGTACACTTGACTTTTGTTCTTTTTTCTACTCATATCTCAAATGAAAGGCATTGGCTAGATACTAAATCCAAATGCAAAGCACAGGTTTACAGCAGACACTTAACTCCTCAAATGTTATTCAGATCTCTTAAGACAAGGGGATGATTTCAAGAATTCCAGTCCATTAATTGTTTTGATCCTATGTGCTCAGCTTTGGAAGCTTCAGTTTCAGCACCTAATTTTATTCCTATACACCTTGGTAGGCTTCCCGTTAATACAGAAAGGAAGTAAGTGCTCAGTGCTGCAAATGAGACCAGTTTTATTTAGGTGTCTAAATATGCTCTTAGATGCTTAAGTTAAGTCACCTATATTTGTGAACTGTGGCTTTTCTGTTTAAATAACCTAATTTATAAGCCAAGTACTTGGGAGAGGAAGAAATTGATTCCTGGAAGCATGCAATGATGTGGTTACAGAAAGCTTTCTGTGCTTTTTTTTACAGTACAAGACATGATAATTCATATTAATAAGGCACCCAATTATTTAGGAAGTGCTATATTTAGCAGCTAAGCCCCTGAATAGCTATACAATGGAATTATGTTGAAAATGGATGTGCTTCATTGAAATGGATGTACTGCAAATAAATACAGTACCTAAAAATAGCTCCATATAATGCAACAAAATAAAGCTTACACAGAATGGCAGCATTTCATTTTCCAGAAACTCTTTCTCATATAAAACTGAAAACTGAATACATCCCTTGCCAATTGTAAACGTTAATGCATACAGTAACATTTTGGGAGAAGCAGAACAAATAAGGGAGGACACACAACTCACTTTTTCTGCCATTTCATGGGAGTGATGCAATGAATGTTCCCTTTCTGAGAACATTCGCCTTTGTTCATAGCTGGCTAGCCGACAAGTGAGCCATGAAGAAAGGGTGCAACCACCAATTCCAATGCATGCAAGAGACATGGAGGCAAGATGCAAAGAATAGAGAGCAGATGACTTCTTTGTCAGAGCACGAAGAAATTGAAAATTTAAGATTCCTCCTATTAGTCCACAGATGCAACAGGCAGAAAAAAGTATCATCTGTCAGGAGAGACAAGACAGGTTATGTCACAGTAATATTTTTCAGACATAGATTAATGCATATAAAATATGAGATAACCACAGTTTAATTCTTTGATATCATCACTGACTGCAAAACACTGCACAGACACTTGTTTTTAACTCTCTTAGCTCCCTCATTGCTCCAAGGAATATATTACCTTCTGCTATACAAGAGTTAAGGTTGATGTTGCATGTAAAAAAAGGTTGAGTAAAATGAGTAGGTAAAGTTAAAACCTATTCAATGGAAGGACTGCTAGGACACAAAACTGTTTTCCAGCTGTTCATGCAAAACAGTAACATGACAGAAGGTGCCGTAATTTCCTATTGTGCCGTTTATCACCTTGCCTCAGGAGTGAATGCCTCATGTATTTGTAGTGAATCTCTCTTGCTTTGTGTGCATTCTGACTGTGCCTCCTGCTCAGTTATAATTTGTTCAGTCAGATAGCAGATTGGAGGCTTTCTGCTGCTTTTGTGGGGTCTTTGAAAGTGTTCAAGGTGAATGTGCTTGTCAAAGAAGCAAAATAAACAGCAAAGAAATTTGTGAAGCTGCTTTACAGAAGGTAATTTTGATGAACATATGGTTGGTTGGTTGGTTGGTTTATTTGGTTGATTTTAACTTGACTAAAATGTTCCTGGGAATTTTAGAAATCTGTGAAACAGGCTGCAATCAATGAGACATTTTTAAACACATCCTATTGCTTTTAGTCACCAAGATGTTACTCTGGTTCAGGATGTGTATTAACCTCAAATGATTCAGGAGCAAACGACCTTATGGAGACTGTGTTAAAAGATTGTCTTATTCACTTCCCTTTATACTGATGACCTGTCAGATGATCTAGATGGGCCTTTAATATTTCTTGATATGGCTTTGTATTTGTACTTACCTACTGTGGCAGCAGAACTTTATGGATCCTTACAAACTACTTTAGAAAAGTACTACAACTAGGATGAGAATTTCCTCAGGAATGTGGCATTGAGAATGTATATTGCAGTCCACTGGCAAGTGACTATTCCATGAGACCTCTGGAATAGATACCTTTTAGAAACTGGTTATGGTACACTTGTTTTAAGAAATGGGACTGTCATTTTAACAGACTTTAGGATAACACATTGATATTAAAAAATAATTGGAGAGAACTTTTGTTTCCCATCATACTTATGCTTGTTTTATGTGACTTCCATCTGTATGTGGCAGAATATTCAAGCTGACAGAATATTAGGACTGGCATTATCACTTACAGTAAGATCATGTCTTTAACATAGAGTTCTGCTGTGTCTTGTTGAGTAATAATACCATTTTGCTGCAGTCAGAAAATGCCTGTACAGAAGAGGTATCTCCCATCCCTTTAAAACTTACATTCATGTGTTTCAGATTGCTAAACAAACTTCCTAAACACTTAAGAGCTATGATATCTAGAAACAAACTTGGTCAGCAGCCTCACTGAGATGGCAACCCAGCGTTGGTTTCAAAGGAGAGAAGATACAGTCCAGTGACATTATTGAGAAGCATTTATTGACTTGACATAAATCTATGTCAAGTTTATCCATATACAGATAAATAGGGATGTATGGCTTAAATAGCATGACCTACATAGGCCATTTCAGAACTGCCTTGTTTTTTGTGACTATTCCAAAGTGCTGATTGCTTTTTTTAGATTGCCAACTTGTAATTTTTCTAATTGTTTATCAAAAACCCTTGGATGCAGAAAACCCCCAGTAAAGAGTTCAAATTTGATAAGTAAGCCTTTCAAATACTTAAGTGTTATGGATTCAGTGGAAAAACTTACAACAAGTCCAGATTTTTTTTTGGCACACAATATTCCGCATACACCGCAAAGCAGGAACTGCAAAAAACAAGAAACCAAACAATTATTTCATCATTTAAGGTACGTAGTTCAAATCCCACTGTGTTGCAGTGGTGCTGACCACAGTTTAGGCAATAGTTACAGTTGTCAGCATTTTTGTCACAAACCTTATGTTTCAGGAGGTTGTAACTCAACCATAAACACTTTTATCGGATAAGAAACTGGAATGAGACATCCGAGTGACCATAATAACTCGAGAAAGAAAAGAAAGAAAATCTGAATTTTAAGCTCCTTAGATAAACAAGTTGGAAAAAAATCCCCAGTGTTGCAAGCATAAAAATGCCTTTTCACTGGTTTTTTTTTTTTTTTTTCTCTCTCAGAAGAATTTAGCAAGGTACTAGTCAGTGATCCAAGTCATCTATTTCTAAGCATAGCATTGGGACTTAATGCCCTGATCCTACCATCTGAACCATCTGAAGGATCACATATGGATTGTTGTCTTCATGACAGCGGAACTCTGGGCAAGAATATAATTCAGTCATGTCTGTGGGTGCAGGTGTAAATATCAGTACGTCTGTTCGTGTGACTACTCTGGGCATGCAGAATATACAAGAGAGAGCATGAGGGTGTCTGTCCTTTTTTTTTATGCCATTCCCTAACACAAACTGATTTTGTAATTGTAGCATCAAGCATTAGGCAAAAATTAATTAACAAAACCAGAAAAACCAGCTGATGAAAACATATGCTAATGCTTAATAGCGACCTCTGTCAAAGACCAGTGATGTCCTCTGATATCTTTTTCCTCTTGAAGAAAAATTTAATAAGTAAAACAATGAATAGTCCCCAGGGGAGCAGTCAGGGTAGGAACTACAGTAGTTGTATGAAATAAATAAGGCCTTCTCCAGATATTAGCAATACTGTAAAAAATTTCCTTGATGCCTCATATAGTCCTTTATAAAGAAATCTATGCTACTTATTTTCAATAAAGATAAGCGTACTCCCCCACTGAGAAGTAATTTATAGTTTTAAACTGGATTTTTCCATACTATTTTTGCATTGGGATGGTATTTCTAGCAAAGGCTTTGCTTGACCCTGATTTAGAATTAAATCACAGAAAAGACCTGGCTGTTACATAAGAAATTAAAAACAAACAAACAAACAAACAAACAAACAAACCAAAAACTGAAGAAGTTCTATAAAGCATTCAGGGTCTGTGAATATTATATATATTACATATAATATGTGAATATTATATATAATTTCAGGTACTTCTTATTTAAGCTCTAAAACTTTTCAACTTCACTATTTCAGTTGAGGAGTTGCTTTAACTCATAGTTTATCCCCATCTAACTAAAGTAGTTAATGTATATAGCTAAGTATAAGCTTTGAGGTATCTTTTTACTCTGACTTAGACCCATGAAAACAGCTCCCCATAATGAATGTTGATAAATTCTGTATATTATTTACCTTTATACTAAGCATGGGATGTGAATTTAATACCAATCAGATTATAGGGAGGGCTGGACCATGGTGCTGAATGGCTCAGGACATACCAGAAGGCACAACTGATAATTACTGCTAGAACCCACTGACTGGAATAACAATAAAATAAAGCAAATCACCAGGGGCAATGCTCCTTCTGCATTTTCCCACAGGCAAAGAAGATATCAGTTCATCACATCTCCTTTGTAAGTGGTCACTCAGCCTTTCTGTGAAGTTTTGGGGTTTTACTCCCAGTCCTGCCATTGCATATTGCCTTCAACTGAACTCATGCTTCAGATTTTCACACATTGTGTTTTGTATTTCTCAAAATGCAGAAACCTCAAATGAAATTTGTTGAAGACATCTTTGTAATTAAGTTCTATTCAGTCAGATTTGATAAAGTGGATTACTAATATATTTTCTCTCTGTAGTGATTGTATAGGATTGAAAGGAAATTTTTGTATATAGAAAAATTAATTAGTGTTGGGACATATCATCACAGATAATTTTAACTTGTTAACTAGTTTAAAAAACTGTGAGTTTGATAATTTACCTTCAGAGCTGAAAGAGTAAGAAAGAGAAGGTCACCCATTTTTTCAGGAATGCTATTCTGCTCCAGTTTGAGTCAATGAAGCTAATCTACAAGCCCTAAGGTATCAGCTTCTGAAAACAAGGAGTGACTATTCTATTTAAAGCATCTCACTACCTGGAGTAAAGATCTGGATGCAGTAGTTAAATGTACGTTAAGTTTGCTAATGATACGAGACTAGGATATACCATGGACTATTAAGTGTAGAGGGGCCTTACAAAGAGATGTGAATAGACCTGAGAGCTGGGTAATTACCAACCATGTCAAATTTAACAAGAGTAATTGCCAGATTCTGCACCTAGGACAGTGTAATCCTGGTTATACTGGGGGTCAAGAGATTGGAAAGCAGCCACAGGGAAAGAGATCTGGGTGTCTGACTTGATGACAAATGTGAGTCAGCAGTGCCCTGGCAGCAAAAAAGGCCAAGCATGCCCTGGAGTACATCAAGAACAGCATCACCAGCTGGTGGAGGGAAGTGATTGTCCTGCTCTATTCTGCTCTGGTGCAGCTCCTTCTTGAGCATTGTGTGCTGAGATGGATTCCTCAGTATCAGAAAAGCATCTAACTGTTAGAGTGTGTCCAGAGGAGGATGACCAAGATGGTGAAATGCCTCAAGGGCAAGACTTACAAGGAGCAGCTGAGGTCACTTGGTTTGATCAGTTTGAAGAAGAGAAGGCTGAGGGATGACCTCTACACAGTCTACACCTTTCTCAAGGCAAGCAGCGGAGGGAGAGGTGCTGAACTCTCTTTGATTATCAATGATATGGCACAAAGCAATGGATGAAGTTTCATCAGAATATTCTTTGTTGCAAGGGTAGTCAGTCACTGGAACAGGCTCCCCAGGAAAGGGATCATGGCACCAAGTCTGTCAGAGGACAACGAGCGCTCTGGATGCTGCTATTAGTCTTATGATTTGGTGTTAGGTAGTCCTGCAGGAGCATGGAGTTGGACTTGGTGGTCTTTATGGGTCTTTTAAAAGTTGAGAAATTCCATGATTTTATGAAAATATTGTATCATGCCATGTATACTCTGTATGCATTGTCTCTCTCCACATCTACAGTATTTGTACGTATAGGCAAGGAATAACATGTTCCATAGTTAAAGAGCTAAAAGAGTTCTCTTAGCTCTTAGAGCAATTCTTACTTAGAGGAATTGGACATTCATGCTTTCTCCACATTCTTTTGTTTAATCTTGAGGTCATGCCGAAGTTTTATAATCAGTACAGCTATGAGATAAACAAGTTGTGAAACCGAATGCACTCAAGTGCCTGAATATGTTAAAAAACCTTGGAAGGAAAGCATTCGAGCAGTAGCAAAGGATTAATGTTATTTACATTGGGGTTTTTTTAAGATGACAGTGTATTGCATTCATAGAGAAAAGGATTGCCCAAAACCCAGTATGAATATTAATTTATGTCAGCATGCGTTTTTCAATTAAAACCAACAGATGACTTTGTGCCACAGGGTCAGGAAATGGATTGTAGGGTTACTTTTGGTTGCAGACTTATTCATACTTCCTATACATACATGATGTTTTGCATCAAGTCTTTGCAGAGAAGTCTTGTATTGAAACTGTTGATGCAAATCCAGAGAAGGGACAGGAAGTTGGTAAGAGGGCAGGAGGACCTCCCCTAAGAAGTTAGGTGGGGAAGGTTTGGGCTATCCAACCTGGAAGTAGAGAAGGTTCAGAGATTCACAGATTGGCAGAGTATTCTGAGTTGGAAGGGACCCACAGGTATCATTGAGTTTGTGTGGGAACCTCATAGCAATCTTCCAATATCATGGAAGCTAGAGAGGGACTTTTCATCAGGAACTGTAGTTACAGAACAGGGAGTAAAGAGGTAACTGGAAGAGGTGAAATTTAGGCTAGATGTTAGGAAGAGATTCATTACTGTGAGGGTGATGAGGCACTGGAACAGGTTGCCCAGAGAATCTGCGGGTGACTAAACCCTGGTAATGTTCCAGGCCAGGTTATACAAGGCCTTAAGCAACCTGGTTTGGTAGGAGGTGTTCCTGCCCATGGCAGGGACAGTTGGGACTAGATGATCTTTAAGGTCTCTTCCAATCCTTTTTGTATGATTCTGTGATTCTCTGAGTTTATGAGAATGTATCACCAAGGGGTAACATAGGGGCATAACTCCTCTTGGGTGAATGGTAAAAAAATCTAAAGAAAGATAGTACAAAGCACAAAAGCTACTTAGAGACTGAGTGCCTCAATCCCACTTTCAGTGATGATTTACCATGGGCCCACCAAAGTGAGAGTTGCTCTGATAGCACCAGTATGATTGCAAGGTGATGCAGTAGTGTCTGTTTGTCTGGTGTTTTTGTCATTCACACTGCAGCTGTACCTAATAATGTTCCATATGCATATTGGAAAATGTGTCTTTTTGTCTGTTGAACTTTGGAAAAGAACCCCAAAGACCTCCTAGAAAAGGAGAATGCTTCTTTTGAAACTACTTTAATTTACTTTATATTGAATATTGCCTTGAAACAAAACCTCAGATCCAAAACCCCATAAATGTTGGTAAGAAGGCTAAAATCTCGATTTATATTCAAGTTTTGTGGTTTGGATCCATCCCTATTTAATATTTTCTGGAACAAAAAACTTGGCTTCTTTCACTTCATTCTGGAAAATGGGTACTTTGTCCCTGGTAGTCTGAAAAAGATTCAGTTTTAGCTAATCTGCAGGAAGCCAAATATTTGTTTCGTTCTAACATGCAGAAGAAAAGGAACTATTTTTATTTTATATCTTGAAGCTAAGAAACATTTCTGTCTTATATTTTGAAAAGGCAAAAGCAATGGTGAGTGTAATTCCCTTGAAAAAATTAAAACCGCTCATAGAAAAATTTTCTGGACACAGGCTGAACAAAGTAGTAGAGAAAACCTGTTGAATATAAGGACAGCTTGATCCCTAGTCATTGTTCATGACAAAAAGACAGCTAAACTGAATACACTGCATGGGAAGTCCTCTGTGGGTCATCCATATGTATCTGATGAAACTGAGGAAGGGAAATAATTCCAAAATAGAATGTAACACAGTGAAAATGCAAGTGTATCTCTTCATCATACCTACTCAAATGACACTCTACTTGGAAGACTAAACCATCAAGACCTTCACTTTTATATACTCTTGTCAGGTAGTAAACTAGACAATTCTGTGTTTTACACTAAAGCTGCATAAACATGTGACTTCCAGAATAACCAGGAATTTGAAATCAGTAATGTAAAGAAAGAAAGATACCATTTAATAATGTTGTTTCAACTCCATCCAAATGAGAAAAAAAGCTGAAACCCCTAATGGATGAACTAAGCAGAAGAGATATCTCTAATTGTAACTCTTTTTCTAAGCAGTATTTCAGAACAAGGATTAAATGTTCTTAGCACAGACATAAAGGGCACAGAATCTACTCATGAAAACAAAGACATCAAACTAAATAAAAATTACAACAGGCAAGAGGATCAAGCCTAGGCACCAAGTTTGCCTATTACCTCCACAGAGAAACACAATAATCTTTTGCAAAAGCGGGATGGAAGCTTCTAATGATGTTGTTGTCCCATGCAAATGATTGCGGGGACAGGAAGGTCTAGGTGGCTGAAAGGCATCCAGACACAGAACCAGAAGCAACAGCATTGCCAAAACCCAACCTTGTGTCCCACCAAATCTGTTATGCTGAGAGGGGAGGCTCTGTTATAATTGAGGCATAGTGTTAAATAATGTCTTATCTGAGTCAATACCTTGTCTGGCATTGTGCTATTGGGTCTTATCAGATCAGGTACTGCTACACTTCCCACTGATTGAAGCCATATGCAAGCAGGTTAAATTCTATCACAGTCCCTGTGATTAGTGTTTCAACTCATCTGATTATAGACCTACAGAGACGGGGAATAGTTTTTAGAAACAATCAAGGAAATTAAGTGTGTTTCTGAATCTGACATCAGTGATTCAAAAAACCTCCATCCATCTCTAAAAACACTTAAAATCTCAGCGCAAAATAATAATGTTTACTTTTTGCTTGTTCAGAGCCTATCAGAATAACAAATTTAAAAAATGCTTTTTGTTTGCTTTGTATCAAGCATTTGGTTTACAGTGTGACTGTTTACATCTCAAAAAAGTAATAAATGAAAGATTATTCCCTGCAGGTGAACTTCAGTCTTATAGTAGTAAAACGTTTAAGCATATGCTTAAGTCAGTCTATATTCAACAGATCCTCTAAATACAACCCAGTAGCTAGATGGAACTTCTTCCAGGCTTTTTTTTTTTTTTTTTCCTCTGGAGTCTCCAAATGACAAAAAAACCTACTGAAAGACCTCAGCTGAATTCAGTGAATTGTCCTGGCTCCATGCAATGCAAGAAACTTCCACCCTTGGTATGTCCTTCCCTATCTATAGGTACAGAACTCTTTCCAGCTTCTACTGAGCTCACTGAAAGTCCTGTGATTAATTTCATCATGAGCAGGAGCCAGACAGAAATATGGTCAATTTGATGAAAATGCAATACATATGTTAAAATAAAGTAGGATCTGCATTTTGTCTGCATGCTAAACAATAATGTGATTTTTTTTTAGTGCTGTTTTTGGAAAAAAAATAAAATTTGACTATTCTTTCCAAAGGAAACTTGGCAACAGTAAAATCTAGATGTAAAATTTAGTGGTTTAAAATTTCAGGCCACCAACATTGATTTACCAGTCTAAAAAGGTTTTCTTGCTCTGGGAAAGTCCATACAGACTGACACTTATTCTTTTCCTTCAAATCTTGGATAAAAAAAAAATAAAGTAATTTAAATCAAATATTTCAAGTGCCAACTTGGAACAAATTTCTGTAGCCAAATGCAGATTTTTAATGGGTAGGCAGACTTCCACTGTGATAAAATCACAAATCATGGAAACAGTAATTCAGCCTCTATATACAGACAGTCAAACAGACCAGCATAGAGAAAGTGCATATCTCTCAAATACATTCAGATGTTTGCCTTTATAAGGGAAGAAATTATTACTCTTGAGGGGCACAGCCATAAGTGAATCATCGAGTATCTCTCTCGCATATGAAGATAGATGGCATATTTCTCTAAAGATGTGGGTTTTGTCTCTCATTCTCTCTGTCTCTGTGAGGGAGACTCATTTATAGCAAGGATTTATTCACCACTGCAGAATAAATGAGGATAAGTTACACAAATGTATGTGTGTGTGTGAATACCTATTCACTACTTATAGTGAGAGTGATGAAACCACTGTGTTCTAAATATGGATGGGGAAGTATGTGACCATTAAAAAAAAATTGTGAATACTTTTTGGTTGATTGCCTTCTGACTTTTGTTGTTTGTGCAAAAGCCTTTGCCATGGATGCTGTCATTTTTACTATGTTATTGTTAGTGGTTCAGCAGTCTCATTGGTTGAATTATTCTATAGTACATCACATAACTGAATTGGAATGGTGGATTTCAGAAATATCCCTCAGTTTCTGGGAAACAAAGAAATCTGAGAGATACTGATTACAGCCTGTAGAATAGTTTATACCAATACAAACAACAAACAGAAAGAACATTTAGAAATCAACAATGTGTGCACTTTAGGGTATTTGGGACTATTTTTATTGTGGGTTTGTTTTTGTATTTAGCATTTTTTTGCAATTTAACAGCCGTGGCCTATTTTAAAAAGAACAGATTGGTGATGATGTAAACTGGATAGTTGTCTCCAAATGCTCCAGATAATCTGAGAAGACAGTCACACCTTCAGTTGTTTTCTTATGGCTACTTTTTAAACAATTTGTACTATCTTAATCCAATTCAACTCCAATGAGAACGACAGATTTGAAACTTCATTTTCTCCCTATTTTAATGTATTTTTTGGTACAGACATTGCCTAGACTTTCAATTTCTTCATTCTGATGTACTCTACTTTCCCTGGCTTGCTTATACATAATGTAGGGCATGCAATGATCAGGGTACTTCAGCTCATGCTTAACTTCACTTGTTTCCATAATGCTATGGATGGAATTCACATGGTTAAAATCAGGTATGTTAATAAATCGTCTGTCTGAATGGAGGCAGTGAACAATAACAACTCTTTTAATAGAAAAGCTGATGTTTGTCAAGTGCAAAGCATCATAAGGAGACAAGTATAGAAGATAGAATGTGCATGATTTTTAAGATGCCCAAATTTTAGGAATTCAGGTTAAGGTTTCCATGGTGATGCTATCTTCATCTACTTCTACATGAACTTGGGTCTCTGCTGATTTCCACCCACATAAAAGGATAGAACAGGGTCAAAGGTTTTCTTGCATTTTTGTGCAAGTAAATTGCAACAGGAGGAATGACACTATTCAAGTTAAGTGTTTTGTATCTAACATGTTAAAGAATTAGTTTTTCTTTAATGTCCCCTTCTTTTCCTTAGTGTTCACTTCTCAAAGGAAGACTCTGATTCAATGGTGTAAACTGGAAAAAATAACCTATTTTATGCAAGACATATCCTTTAATACGAGCTCAGTGTAGGCTACAGTGAGCAGAAAGGAGGCTTATGCCACTTCTGCAGCAGGATAGTCCTGAGGATTGTCCAAACAAACCTTTGTCCTGTTTTTTAAATTTGAAAGTAGTTACCCATGACCCTAAGTATCCTTAGACAACAGTAAATCTCTGGCCCCTTTCTTGGCCTGCCTGCCTGACCTGCTAGTCCCCCAGTCAGAAGAATGCAACCTAACAGTTTGAACTCTTGGAATAGTACAAAGAGAGATGTATAATGGTGACAATTTAGACCACAGATCTTTAGTTCAATGGAAAGTAAGTCAGCCTTTAGAAACATGTTACCCCACGCTGCATGCCATTTTGATTTTTTAATTTCCTCTGCTACGTGAAGTATAAGATTCCTTCTTCCACTTTGCATTTTCTTTGAGGCCTCTTTCTGCCTATTCAACCTGCAGTTTTTGCTCAGTTCCCAGCCTCTGCTGGCTCTGGTTGTGGGCATCCTTTGCTCACTTGTTACATTTGCAAACAAGTCCCTTTGGGTTACCTTTGATGCCTCTGCACTCACATGTGAGAATAATTTCCTATAAATATCTTCCTATAAACTTCTTCACTGTCCTCTGTCTTACTGCTCTCTAAAACTTCACCTATGAACAGCTCTAAATCAGCCAGACTGCTGGTGTGTTAATGCAACCACCTGTTATACCACTCTGTTTTGGTTTGTTTTTTTCTTCATACTCACTTACACCATTTTACGATGTATCTGTCTCTTTCTATGACTATAAAGTCCTTGGAAGCCAACATCTAATATAACAGAATCTTAATCTATGCCTAATACAAACTCTGGGGAAATAGCATAAAAATGAATGAGGCAGTTATGCAGGAAATGTGCATCGTCACGAAATGATATCAGCTGTGATAGCATTGTCACAAAATGCAATCACTGCATAAAATACTGATCTCACTGATTGATCAAAGCTCTTTAACCTCAGTAAAACCCAGGAAACTGACCTCTGCCAATAAATCTTCAGACAGACATGTGGTTTTAAATAATTTTTTTCTTTCTTCATTAACAATGATCAGAAGCCTCCCTTTCTGAAGTGATTTTGATAATAGCATTACCTGCTGGCCTGGTAATGTCATTACCTGTCTGATCTAGTATTAATTTTCAGTTCTCACCTACCTGTTTAGCAGTGCAGAATTATGAGTGCTTATATACTGCCAAAAATATTTATCACTGTTGTCAATAATTAATAATTATTGACAGTGAGAATATTAAATGAAGCACTTTGTCTGAATTAATCTATAAATTAGAGGAGGCTATACTGATGAATAATCAAGAGTGTTTTACATTTATCATGTTACTGGAAGCTAAGCAAACAATCCTTTTAGAAATACTGCTGTACAATACAAGCTGGCCAAAACAGCTTTGGACTTCAAAAATGCCCACTCATGTTTAGACTGAATATTCAACATTTCCTATTCTTTGTTTCCTAAATATAAATAACCATTTGGAGGAAAATTCCTCCTAGAAACATGCGTATCTCAAACTGGAAAAAATAAGAAACATTTTTGAGAAGTAAAAAATGCTCTGTGATATGAACATGCTGCTTCTGTTAACCCATTACTGGGTTTTCAAATTTTTTTGTTCATTTTACGAGAAGCTCGGGGCACCCAGTACATGAGAACATCTTTCTCCTTCTCTTTCCCATTGCCTCTTTCTATTTTTCCTCCAAAAGCTCAGGACTCAGCTGGCATACCCTTGACATTAATTCAAAGCACCTTTTGACAGCCTCCTCATCATGGACAGGGCTGTTCTTTTGAAAAAGCAAAACTCACAGTCAATTTAAGGACCGTAAGCTATGGCCCGGGTTTCACGCGAAGCATCGAGCTTTCCCAGGTGCGAGAAGGGGTTCAGAGAAAGTTCAATTGCTCACAGCAAGACTGAGAAATGGAAAGGAGCGAGAAAGAAGAGGTGCCCCCCCGTCCGTGACACGTACATCTGTCCCCGCCGTGCCTCCCCCTCGCCCCACGACTCTGCAGGACCGTACCCAAGCACATCGCAAATGGACCCGGCGAGGTCGGCGCATCATGCACTCGCGGCAGGGAGAGGAAGGGAAGGGAAGGGAAGGCAAGGGGAAAGGGGATGCCTAAGCACGGTCTGATCACCACCATAAAGAGTTAAAGAGAGAGTGAAATGGCTAACGTACACACACCCCGCTCCATACCGGAGAAGAGTCTCCCAGCTGCGGTTTATGCTCTGTGAGGACCAGGCTGAAACTGACCGCCCCCACGGCCACGCTGGACACCCCTAACCCTATCTCCAGCACGGAGAGCACCAGGAGGCTCCCGATGATCTGGCTGCTGGTGCACATCCTCCCTCGGTCATCCTTCCTTCCCGATCAGCCGGGGAAACCGCGCATCCTCCTCCTCCTCCTCGGGCGCTCCCGCGGCCCTAAGTCGCCCCCAAACTTTTCTTCCTTCGCAGGCAGCCGGGGCGGAGCGGCTCATCCGCGGCCGGCGGGCGCTACCGAGGGTCGGCGGGGCGGCCCCGGCTCCGCCGGGCCCCGCGCAGGCAGCGCCGCGCCGGCCCCGAGCGCGGCCCCGAGCGCGGCCCCGAGCGCGGCCCCGAGCGCGGCTCCGAGCGCGGCCCCGGCGCGGCCCCGAGCGCGGCTCCGAGCGCGGCCCCGGCGCGGCCCCGGCGCGGCCCCGGCGCGGCCCCGGCGCGGCGGAGCTCTCCAAGGTGCCGGGCCGGCGGTGGGTGCGCGGCTCCGCGCTCCTAAGGGCTGCGCCTCCGCCGGGAAAGTCGACCTTGTCCGCTCTCCTCTTGCGCTCTCATTGGAATGACCTCACCGGGATTTTCCCCCCCGCTTCTTGCTTCTCTCCCCCTTCTCTTCCAGGGCTGGGGGGCGGGGGGTAGAGGAGTGTGGCGAGCCCAGCCCGGCTATACTTATGTATGAATCCAGACCCAATGCACGGGCAAGGCGCACGGCAGCCCCGCCCCAGGGCCACAAGGCTCGGCACCTTCCCCGGTCCTCCCCCGGCACGTCGCTCGCACACCTCCGCCGTCCCGCGGCGGCCGGGCTGGCGGCGGGACGTGGGAGCCGATGCCAGCCGCAGGCGGACCCCTGAGAGGTGACCCTTCTCGGAGTGGGGGGTCCGCAGGCCTCCCTCCTCCCAGGTGCTGCTGTCAAAATTCAGGAGGAAGCTCGTCTTCCTCTTGTATCAGCTAAAGGGCTGGAGTAAGCTGTGTCTCACCACTGCAAAACTCTGGTCTTCTGCAAAACCCTACTGCCAAAATTGGTGATTTCTGTAGCCATTCCTGTCACTCACCATGGCCAGAACTATGTCAGTCCCAAAGCAAATGTGCAATAAAAGCAAAGTAGAACAAGAGATTCAGGGCTGCTAACTTGAGCCTTGCTGGATTGCTTGGTACAAATCTTTATTACTGCGCTTAGACACAGATGATGTTTTGCCACTCTGACTACAGTTTTGCAATCTAGATGTGCTGCACAACATGGTAACACTCAGACACTCAGTCTAGCACCTTGGCTTTCCTAGATATGGATCACCAACATTTGGATGTCTACCTTAGCAAGAGGGCAAAAGAATGACATAGACAATGATATCTCCCAAGTCTATCCCAGGATTCAAAAAATATTGGCATCCTGCAGTATTCAATTATCTCCTCTATATACATGATATGTTTTTTATTCTAAAAGAAACCTTATGTGGAATCTTTTCTTTTATCAAAGATCTGCAATTCTTAACCTATGTATAAATCCTACATTCAGATGTCAGAGTCCAGAATGGCAGTCTAGACTTGTCCAGTATTTCATGGTGCAATTTGGTAGCAAGAGCACAAGATTAGCAAGGTCCTGACCAAATATTTTTCTTTGGACTTCACAGCCTATATTGTGTTTTGAGAACAGGTATTACACTTGGGAAGACTGGATCCACCATTGCAGCTCAGAGTTTAGTTCTCATTTGTAGAAATCTTCAATACTTAATTGCAGTGGGTGGAGATAGACTGGCATCAAAGTCTGTCACCTTATGGTGTTTATGCTTTTTAGGTATCCAAGAGCAAGAGTAAGAGGTCCTGAGACAGGATCTTAATGCTTTCTAGTTTAATGCTTAATTGGTTTCCTATTTTCTTACATGTTCCCCACTTCACAGAAGCAGAACAATTGACTACATCTAGAGGAAAGCTCTGTTACAGTTAAAGCTGAATTGTCCCTTTTCATCTCTTATGTTTTAAATGGTACCTGACATCTCTTATCATTAAAAATCAAGGCACAGCATAAAAGTTCCTAAGCTACTATATTTATGTAGGAGGATGGAGAAAGCACAGATTTTCAAGTACCCACATGGGTGTAGGAAGGTGTTTCTGCAATGACAGTATCCTTATTATGTCAGATTGTTATAAACGCTGAAGTGTGCTTAGGTGATATGATTTTACTGCTCAGAGTATATTTTACTAGGTCTTTAAAATCCAGTGGTGATAAGAGGGGAATTGCATAATGACAGACATAATTAATACATTTAATGCTTGCAGCCAGATAAAGAGCCTGTCACATCAGAATAGAGCTCATGTGACAGAAATAAGATTTCCATAAACAGCTTGTTTTATGTAACATTTCCACTTCAGTCATAATAAGCTGTCAGAAAGATGGAGGGAAAGAGACCTTGTGAAAAGTGTGCCCTAGATGGAGATCACTTCATGCAACAGTTAATAAAACAGAGATATAAAACTAGGGTCCAACAGCAGGAGAGGAAGTGCCCTGGGTGCCTGCTTTCTAATCAGCAGGCTACGGAGAGGTGAAGAGCTGAGCAAGACCACAGCCAGAGTTCATGACTGCTCAGGAGGAGCACCCTTTCAAATAAAGACAGGAAGGAAACATAAATTTCTAATCACTACCTTTTTAAAATTAAAAGATACAGTCTTTGTCCATAAAACTTGTGTTTATTTGTACTATGGTGCTGCATCATCATTATGTGCTAATCTAGGCAATTAACTTTACACCTGGGACTATTCATACATACATTTCAGCACATGCTTATATCTTTGCAACATTAAGTTATTTAACTGCTTGCTGTCTCAACTGGCTGGTTTTCAAATGTTTCCTGTATTTGTGCTTCCAATATCAAAAATATTATGATGAAAGTTTAAACAGAGGGGGGAAAAGGTAAAAAAATCATTCAATATGCAGGCAAGTTTTCATTATGACTACAGAAAGTCAAATACTAAAATCCCATCTCCAAAGTAAAATTAATTAGAGTCATGAGGGCTTTGGATCTTTTAATTTAAACTGTTGGATTCATGAACAAAAGACATCAATCTTGTTCTTCTTGACTTTGAAGGAAAACTTTTTTCCTCTCTTTTTTTTTTTGTCATTAAAGACTTTAGAAATGTTTCATGACAAAAAAAAATTCCAGTCATACAGCAGGATGAAGGGTAATTGGATGACATAGTACTGGCAATGAAGAAGTAGAAATGGGAGCAAAAAGATTCATTTATACTTAGTCCCTTTTACATGTCTCTGATGACCAAGAGACCCTAACAAGGTTATAGCCTTTCCATTGGAAATTACCAGCTTTATGTAACACTTCTGACCATGTATTCATAGCTGAGTACATTCTGTTCAAGTGGTTCAGTTTATTGATTTCCTAATTCCATGAGTCTCTAAAACAATACTGTAAAGATTTTTATTATGAATAAGGACTGGTCCTATAGCATTAAATCAGAACTGAGGCCATTGAATCCAATTCAGCCTAAGAATCTGAGAATAAAATTGAAACTGTACACCATCCTGTAGCTGCTTAGAGAATGAGAAACAAGCTGGTGCAGTCCAAGAGGGGAAATACTCCCTAAATATTGGTGTTACTAATATGCAGGTATAAGGTAGCAAATTTGACAAAAAACCATAACTTTGAGTGATCTTGGAAGCTGGATTACTCTTTTTCCTTATGGATTTCTTTTCTAGTCAGTACCAAGCCATACCAGTTGTGCTATGTTGGAATATTTGACATAGACTGAATGGCTTCTACCAGGATGTTCTCTGGGAAATGGAAAAATTTGGCTTTGAGGGCAGTTTGCAAATCCTCTTCTCTTCACAAGTACCTTATGCTTTGAACTTACTTGGCAGATTCTATTTCTTTACACTTCTTTTTCACCTGGATCCCTTCAAGTCAGTTTGACTGAAGGAAAACCAAGGAAAACCAATACTCTGACAAACAGATTTTAAGTGTTTGGTGTGACACTGCCTTGGGTTCTACAAAAAGTTGCCTATTGATTTCCTTCTAAAACCAGCTGTATCAATTGCATCCTATCTATAGAAATGTGTGCAAAGCAGCCTTTAAAGCATTCCTTTTTTTTTTTTTTTTTTTTTTTTTTGGTGCAGAATCAACTCAGTAAATTTTGCTCCTTAGTTTGTTCACACTCTAAATTAGCATGTGTTGGTATTCTAAAATGGGAAGAAAACCCCATGTAAAACTTGTACAGGAGGAGATAAGGGATTTTGTCTGTTCAAGGTTCAATAGTAAGTTTTCTGCTGAATGAGTAGTTCAGGCCCAGTAAAGCTAGGATCTGTGTCACTGAAGTGACTGTTAAGCTTGTTAGGTCACAACTGTTTTTCTTAGATCAAGTATTAAGGCATTGGCTTGTAACACACACAAAAGAATCTCATTACATAATCTAAAAGTACTTGGCACATAGTTTCATTCTCACTCTCTGTATAGTTACATAAAGTTATTCCACAGCTCTATAGTACATCTCATAGCTCTACTCCCGAAGTTATGGATCTATGGAGAAGTGTTAGAGGGGATCAGTGTGATCAGCTGGAGAGGATCAGCATATAGCAGCTCAGCAAAGAGAAAAACTATTTGCATGGATTGCTCAATAGCTATGTCATGAGTATCTCACTGTCATCTTCTGAACACATCTCATTTTCATCTTGTCCTCTGCAACAAACTGAGTGTTTTCAAGCGACATTCTTGTTGTCACTTCTGGCAAGAATCTCCTCCATTTCCTCTGCAGTTTGGGAATACTGATCCGAAATAGAAAAAGAAGCATAAATCTTTAATCCAAATAATTTATTCGAAGCAACAACCAGGTAAAATCCTGACTTGGTTACCTTCTTCTTATTTTATTGTC